AATGCATAAGTTAATGCAAATAAAGGCTGTTTATGCAGATAAGCGAGCCCGTTTGTCACCCGTATTAATTAAAATTTAAAATATTTCAGAGTAAATAGATTATTTTTTAATTCAAAGTTGTTTAAATAAAATGCCACAGATTTGTACATATGTACATTTATATACTAGATTTGTTAATTTATATATCTACTAGATTTTACTTACCAATTTTTTAGCTGGAGATGTCATCTTATATACTACATGATTACAAGTAAGGCACTTGTAATCACAGTGGGCAATTTTTATTCATTTTTTCCAGCTTAAAACATGGCATACAAAAGATAAAGGAATATCAAAAGTACTGCCAGAATACCGAAGGTGGACAACAAACTCTGGAATTCACCCATTTTTCAACTGTAAAGAAGTAAAATTAAATTGTTTATTATTAGGCGGGTGTAAGTAAGATTTATTATGAACCACGACCTTGACATCGACTCGAAACACGATTTTGATAAGGGAAAACGCGTGCCATGTCAAAAACAAAAATTTAAGAAACATCGTTATCTTTTTGTGATTTCTAAAAAAAAAATAGTTCTCATATCACTCATCATTCAATTGACCTTCAATCCAAGAACTGCTAAAAAAATTTAACTTTTTAGCTATTTCTATACTAAATTTTGCACATTAAAACTATGAATTATAGTGCAATAAAATGTTATATTATTAGGTATATTCGAAGGTCTTCATGCTTCCTTAAGGCACGTTGAAATTTCATAAAAAAACATATGCACATATTATTGGAAAGCTGCCAATTATTTGCGAGTTTTATTTATAAAAAAATACTTTTGTAAAATCAAATTATTTAATTTTAGGTGACACAAGCGCATAAAAAGACTGTACGTAGAACCACACAAACACGCGCGCTGTTTGAAGACAATTAAAAAATAAAAAAAGAGAATTTAAAAAAATAAAAATTAAAAAAAAGCATTTGATAGAACGCAAATTATGCCATCGTGTTATATTAAAAAAGAAAACACGCTTGTGAACATGTATCATCAAATTCTTTTGCGATTAAAAAGTTGAAGGAAGCAACGCAAAAAAAAAATGATTTACTTTCGATCTCTGCAAATTTGTTTAATTAGCCCACTGGCGCTCCAGCTGGGTTGAATAAAAATTATTTTCATTTTCGTATGTATTTATTAAAATTGCACATTTGCTTATTGTCGACATTAAATGGATTTATTACTCGATTTTTTTTTCTTTTGCATTTCAGTTAACACACACCTTTTTCGCAAAATTGCACTTTGAAGATACAAATTTCTTGAACTTTTTTCTAAATTATTTTTGCTCAGCAGAGCTATCGACCTTTTGGTTTGAAGACCTCGGGACTAACTGAAAATCCTTTTCACCTATATGGTTCATTAAAGGGGTGAGCGAGTATGTCAACGAAAATTTTCAGTAGTGCGAGTATTCATTCAAAACTGCATATAAATCACTTAAAAGTACTACGAACACATATGAATATATGTACGTACATAAAGTAAATATACATAATATGCAAACGATGTATACTTAAAATGCTATAAAGAAAAAAATGTTTGGACACATGCATATTTTCACACATGTTTTCAAATAAAGGGTGATCCAAATGCACGTTTTAGATATTTAATTTAAAGACTTACATATATGCTTTTCCAACTCAAAATGTCAACTGTCAGTATTGCACACCCCTTAAACGAAGTTAAATGGTACAAGCCAAAACAAGTTTATTAACAAGCCAAATTTGAATTTTGGAATGTCGCAAACTCATTCTACAATACCTCAAGATTTTCGTCATTTATTGTCCGGTGGAAATCCGGTATAAGACTATTATATATACATATGTACATTATTTTATTATGTGCTTGCGGTATATGACATCACATAGAGTTTTCGAGCTATATTATGAGATATCTTAACCTAAAAGTGCAAAAAAGTGTTTTTGACATATAAGTTTTTTCACAAAAAATTTGTCAAAGTTGAGTTTCGACAAATATCTTTTTTCGCCGAGATATCATTGACATTTTGAAGTCGGAGTAGTTGCAGCTTGGACTCTATCCCAAGATCTCCGGCTAGACTGACATCAATTACCTCTTTCTCAACTCACATCACCTCTGGAGATTAGTGAACGAAGGGCAGTGGTTGAAAGGTGGCACCTCTAATTTAGTCTAGAAGTGACTGTTAAGAAAGTCTGCAAATTTGCGCGACGGCGCTAAGACAGGTAAATATTTCATTTGACAGATAGTCCAGCGGATCGCTCTAAGCTAGTTGAGGAATGCCTGCTCTCGGTTTTTCGGTAGTGTCCCAGTTTTTCCTTTAGAGCGTTCCAGAACGCATACGATTTGCACGTTTTTCAGGATTTAGTCCAAAGTCGTTCCCGTACGCCACATTCAAATAAGGTTTATTAAAGGCGAAAACAGCTGTTCCTGTAAAACCTGCAAATCCTGGAGTACGGGAACAGCCTACTTATCCGAGTTATACAAATGTATCGGTCCAAAGTGAGGCGGATTCACCAATAAAAGAGAAAGTGGGCGTACATTTGTCTAAATGGGGCAAGGGATCTGCTAAAGCTCACAAAGCAGCAACTCTCCGTTATGTACGGCCCGTAGGAAGAGCTCTGCCAGTTTGTCAGCTTTACAATTACCCTCAATATCTCGATGTCTAGGCGCCCATTGCGTTCAAAGATCTGCGGCATTTATTGAAGGGACTTTGCTTTGTCTATTTATATGTTAGTCTAAAGTTTTCAGGTTATTCGTTGCCATCTTCCTTGATAGCTAGGCGACTTTAGAGCAATAGGACCCTTAGTTAATGAAAACGGGAGTTGTACGGAAGTACTGCGCCACGTTGGTATCACTGGAACATCTCTGGCTTATGCCATTGATTGTAGAAAGATCAGATCAATAATTGCGAATGCTCTATGGATGGCGAATGCCAATGAGTTTTGTCTACA